CGGCCCCGTGACTAGGTACAGTATTTTCCATTCTCCACCCTCTTCTTACCCGCCTTTTGTCTTGGAAGCCAACATCTATGGAGTGAGGGCACTCTCACTCTCTGGCTTTGATTGGGTTTGGCCAGTTGGAGGCACTGACAAGAGATCAGAGGACTGGAGGAGAAAGAAGTGGAAGTTAGGGGCCGGCCTGTGGCTCACTCGGGAGAGTGCGGTGCTGATAACACCAAGGCCACGGGTTCGGATCCCATATAGGGATGGCCGGTTTGCTCACTGGGTGAGCATGGTGCTGACAACACCAAGTCAAGGGTTAAGATCCCCTTACCGGTCATCTTTAAAAAAAAATAATAATAATAAATAAATAAATAAAATAAAAGAAGTGGAAGTTATACTTTCCCAGCGTTTCTCTGCTGTACTTCCTGCTTCCCTGTGTTTTTGGCAGTGGTGGCATTTTGTGGTTACAACTCCAGTTGGCAGCCCCTCTTCCTCGACTCCAGCTCTCACTGGTTTTCATCACAGAGTTCCTTCCCCTTCTCTCCTCTGGTTTAGGAGTGCTAAAGGACTTTTTGCTGTTGCCAGTCCCTAGGTTAGTTCCCTTTACCCTGCACACATATCTGTAAATATTCCTTCCATTAACCCCCTTTCAGCAAACCCTTTTAATGTGCCTTCTCTTTCCTGCCATATATGATTACAGACTCTACTTGTCTTCCGACTTTCAGAATTAGGATTCTAACTGTTTCCAGCTATGCTTCATTTGGAAGACACAGAGGCAAGTTTTGAAGGAACAAACAAAGGTTCCCTTCTCTGTTACTGGGCACTTGCCTCTAGCTGCACACACCCTCTCTGACCCTCAGTGCAAATGAGTAAGTGGAAAGTCATCTGATGCTCTGCTACCAGGTGACATATTTTACCAAACACTCTTCTGTTACTCATCCTAATTATCTGTCTTAGTGTGTAAGCTGCATTCCTCTTACCATTTATCTCATTTTTGGCTGGCAGACTTCCAAATTCCCTCTCTTTTATTCATGCATAACACATGAATGATTTACAAGTGGGAAAGTCAATGGGGCTCCTTCCTTCTCAGTCTCCTCATCTGTAGAAACAGGATAATATCAACCTCATAGAGTTGGTGTGAAGACTAATTGAGTAACATCTGTAAGTGCTTAGAACAGCAGGTATGACGTGTTAGCTAATTCTGTGATTATTCTCTCATCTGATTCATCTTGGCCCACCTTCTTACAACTTGTATGTAGAAAGGGAGAAAAGGGGACCTGGGTAGAAATTTCTAAATCTCCCTCATCTCTAAAGCTTTCCTCAGTACCCTTTCTCCTCTTGATAAGCCATTCCTCTTCTGCCCCCTTTTCATCCCAGGAAGCTCAGGAAAGGCAAGCAGGGCAAGTTGTGATTTTTATGTTTTGTGCTGGTAATTCTAGACCAAGTGGTCTTCAAATGGTGGCCTGGGGAGCCTGGAGTTCCCAAGAAGCCCCATGGACCACAGGAAGTGAGTATTGCTCTAGGTCATACCCTCTAGCTCACTCTGATCTGTTTAAGCTTCCTTTCAAGATTCTGTTTAAACAACGGCTTCCAAAACTTAAAAAAGTTAAAATCCCTGTTCTGATGAGGCACCGAAACCCCAGATTTTACAACTGTCAGTCCTAATCTTCTTTGGCCCCACTGCCAAGAAACTTTCTCTACTTCATTCAAATAGTTTGTATTCTTTTCCATTTCCGACGCTCTGAAATAGATATGTGAACAAGCAAATCTTTGTGTACTTCTCTGGGTGACTTTCTCAGATGCTCAGCCAGTTCAGCAGACATTGTCTTCTTAATTTCCAGGCCCCAAGGGAAGACAACTACAATACTATTTAACAATAGAGATATTTGAAGGCCTCAAACTTTTACTGGCACCTTATCCAGCTGGAGAACTTCCAACCTCTGGAATTCTAGGGAACCATCCATCCTGATGCCCCTGTGTCTGCTAGGAGTGAGGGAAGTAAGAGAAGTTGGGCAGCAGAGGCTGCATAGGACAATTGGCTGGGAGTTGGTGGAGGGTTGGAGAGATACTAACTCTACAATTGGTCAACAAATAACTTCTTTATGCAGTTTACGACTTTGGGCAGAGAGAATATGAGCACCTGAAGGGAGCAAAAGCTCCAACCTCCGGATCTCTGCTGCGAATGCTCATCCCAGGTTGCCACAATGCTCCCTTCTACACTTCATTTAGGACTCAAACGTTACTTTGTTAGAACTGCCTTAAGACTGGAGCAAGAGGAGCCCCAACCTTGGGCTCTGAGTGCTCCGGTCGTCTTCCAGCCACGTTCCTTTCCACAGAGCAAGAAACTCATGGGCCAAGAGAATGCGCCCACTCAAAGCTCCTGCTCCCTCCCCTTATATCCTATATCCTACTGTTAGTACTTGAGTCCCTAGAACTCACTGCCCCAATAGCAATAGGCCAGTAGCTACAGCATGCTACTGTATCAACCTTCTCCCAAGGTCTATCCTCTTGAGGAGCCAAGGAGTGGTCAGGACAGTCTATTTGTAGGAGGCATGGATAGAGTTCAGATGGGCAGACGGGGATGTTACAGACGTGGGCACAAGGCTGCTTGAAGTATGGAACAGAGCTGAGGTGCAACGAGAAGGAAGAGGACTGAGGGCCAAGGACCAGGTAACCCCCAAGCCACTGCACTCCAATGCACATCTCTGAAGAGTCTAAGAATACTAAACTTAAATTTGGCCTTCCAGATTATTATAAAGGTATATACGTCAAGATGAAAGATAGGAATTTTACATAACACTTTTTATAGTTTTTAAATATGTAAACATATTATACGTGGGCCTCCATTTGTACTATTGACTTGGTCCCTGCAAATATTAGGGGTGGGTCCGTCCCTGACCACCCTGTCTAAAATAGCACCTCCTCTGTCACTCTATTCTTACCCTATTGTATATCTCTTTATAACATTTGTCCCCACCCGATCTGCATTTGCTTGTGTATCATCTCTTTATCCCACTAGAATGTAAGTTCCATGCCCCTAGTGTCTTTACTTTTAGGACCTAGAGCAGTGCTTGGCATCAAGATACTACTCAATAAATCTTGAATAAATGAATAACAAATCTAGTCTCAGTGGGCTTACAGGCGAGGTGGGCTAACCCAGCAGACACGAAGAACAAAGATCACTTGCGACAACCCTGTGAGGAGCACCTTCTCCCCTTAAAATAACTCACTCAAAACAGTGGAGCTACAAAAGCTGAACAGGAAAAACCCATTAACACTTAGTATGTATGAACGCAGGATGAGTCGATCAGGTTACTTGTGAGGGGGACATCTGTGTGAGTCTGAAGAGCTCTGAGTAGTCTGGAGACTACTCAGGGGGTTCTGACAGCCCCGAGCTGGGGTATCGCCCTAACAACCTTATGAGGGTGGCCAGAGGTGGGTGCCGAGGAAACCAACCCAGACCAGCCCACAGCGGGAAGGGGGCTTCTTATCCATGACTAGGAAGCCCTCAAATAATGTCTCCCTTTGGATGGTCACGGGCCTCAGAAAGGGCAGGTGCATCTGATCCCTGTGGGGTCTCGGCGGTCACAGACTCCAAGACTATCCTACCACGCGTCCCTCTTCTCTCCCACCTGCTCCTAATTCACAACCCTTATTGCTTGGTGGGATCCCTGGAACTTTCCTGGAACAGCATAAATCTGGAACTTCTCCAACGGACTCCTCTTCCGTCGGATACGGGGGCCGCGAGAGACCAAATAACCTCTCCGAGTCGTCCGCGACCACCACAACCCTCGTCCAGGCCTCTGCTCGGCCGGCGCCCCACTCTTTTCATTTGGGGATGGGGCTCCAGGGACTGGGCTGCGCGGCCCGACTCCTGGGGCCTGGGGCGGAAACAGAGCTCTCGCCGCGCTGAGGCCTCGGCTGACCGCGAAGAGGGCGCTCGCCTCCCGACCAACTCTCGCGTCAAGCTCCGGCCGCCGCCCGCCCTGGGGCCCAGGGGCCGGCA